TAAATGCTGCCAAACACGATACGCGGTATCATTTGCGATCCTTCGAATTGCGGTAAACCAATGTAATGATTAGTCTGCTGGAAAGTCCGAACGGTGTACGTTTCAAAACGTGTACGTGTACTCGAAATCGTTGGATCAACCAAAGTATCGATATCTCGAAAGATTGCTCGGATCGATCGATGAAATCGGCTACTTTACATTCTCGGACAACAACATAATTGTACCGCACAGCGAGGCGTTACCGAATTCCGTATTCGTCTTTGACGATATAGCGTGCGACAAGCAGAATGCGATACGCGAGTACTTTGCTATGGGTCGACATTCGAAAGTCGATTGTTTCTTCTATCTGTGTCAAACATATGCAAAAATACCGAAACATCTCGTGCGCGACAACGCGAATTTACTCGTAATATTTAAGCAGGATGGAACAAACCTTAAGCATGTCTACAACGATCATGTGAATACGGACATGACGTACGAAGATTTCAGTACATTGTGTCACGCATGTTGGCAGCACAAGTACGGGTTTTTAGTGATAGACAAGGATAGTACGATTAACGATGGACGATACAGACGTGGTTTTAACGAGTTTGCGGTACCGCGGAATGGTTAGTTGTTCTCGAGACGTTGACGATGACGCTCGACACGAAAGATATCGATGAGAGGGAGAAGATCGCGAAGGAAATCGCTCGTACGAGCGAGTCGATTCGCAAAAAGCATCGGACGTTGAAGACGGGTAGAGTGGAGCAAGAGGTGCAATTGGAGAAACGGTTGAAACTGATCGTAGAGCCGTTGAAACAAATCGTCGAGAACATTAAGGGTGACGATAATCCTATCAAAGAGCCGTCTACACCGGAGTTGAAAAAGAAGAAGAATCGAAAGCGATGGAGCACAGTGCAGCACAGCACCGTGCCAGTGGGTAAACGAATAAAGCCGAATATCACGCTCCAACCGCAAAAATTAGCGTTTGAAAGCCCGATGAGGTCGAATGAAACCGACAGCGCGATCCGTCTCTCGTGCCATCCTTGCGAGAGACGATGCAAACGTTCGAAAACCAGGAAGCTCTGTATGGTCAAATGGGTCCGCTGGGGCAAGAG